TTAACAATGGTTAATGCTAGTTAGGTATTCAGCCATGGCAAGTGCCAACACTTTCACTCATTATATCAGGAGGAAAAAAAAAACTATCCCCCCAACAAATTCCTGAGTTTGGATTCTGATTTCTTAACTGTGCTGATAACAATTAAGTAATTATATTGTTTTCTTGATTAACCCTTAATTTAACGTGACTAATAATGAATAAGCGGAAGAAATTCATCCACAGATAATGGTGATGGCTGCTAGCTTTGATGGCTTAATGTCATCTACAGATTCATGGAGAATATTCCTCTTAGCAGCCATTAGAAAAGCCAATTAAATGGGACATCAATGGCCAGTGATAATATATCTCTCAGTGCTAGATCCTCAAGGCAAAGAGGAGTGAAGTACAGCTAGAAACAGTTCTCAAGACAGGAAGTCCTTGTGTCTAATCTAATGGTGTTTATTTATTTGTCAGAATTTTATCTTGCCTCTCCTGTAGGAATTCAACTGTGTATCTACCAGGCCCTCCTTCTAATTTCTTTCTCAAAACAACCCTGAAGTTGGCTGAGAAACAGTAATTGGTGTGAAGTCACTCAGTAAGCTTCCACTGCTGAGTATAGACTTGATTCTAGCTCTCCCAATCCAGCAATCCTAACCACAACTTCACACTGACTGCAAAATAATCTTAAACAACTCCACTATTTTCTCATGTCTTATTTGTTGCATTTTAATTATGTTTTTCTAACTACATGCACTGCTTTGAAATAGTTTTAACAAAAACATGGTAAATAAAACTTCTTTCTTGAATTACAATACACTTAGACATCACTGGTAATGCAAGCAAGTATGCAGAATGGACTTTGTTCTAAACTACATATAAAAGAAAAACAACCCAAAGTGATTATAAAAAAATCCATATTATGGAACAATGGCTATTTTAATTACTTATAAAATAAAGCAGTAACATTTTATGATATCCAATTTTTTAACTGAAAAGCAATTACTATTATGTGCAGAAATAATCAGAAATAAAAAGCAACTTAAACTATCTAGTAGAAAGTTTATGCCATCAACTTCATTGTTATTTTTTTTTATTTATACAGATTTGAAAGTGAGGTTTTCATCCTAATTTTCATACTACAAAACACCATTTTTTTTCATACTACTTTTGAATTAATGTATTCAAAGAATTATATGTAATCTTGGTAAGCATAATTACAGAGTTAAAAAGAACAAGTAATTTGCTACTTATAGAGATCTTTAAATGTACTAAAAATTACACATATGTCTTCTTTTAAAATCCAGTTCCCAAGAAAATTAATTTGTTTCACTTATGATTTTCATAAATTATATCTAGCTGCTTTTTATGAACAACTTCAGGCAAAACCTATATATCAGTACGGAAGCCACAAAACAATCTGGCTCCAAATCAGCAAAAGAGTAAGACAAGGCTGTACGCTCTCTTCTTATTTATTCAAACTATTTACGGAATATATATTGAGGGTGGCTGGATTGGAAGAAGATGAGTATGGTTTTAAGTTGGAGGAAGAAATATCAATAACTTGTGCTATTTGATTACACTACTCTGATAGCTGAAAATGCAAATGATCTGTAAGTAATGAAAGTCAAGGACTGTAGTGAAAACATGGGGAGTAGGATTAAATATAAAGAAGACTAAGCTAATGACAACAGATACAGTAACTACCCTTAGAACTGATCATGAAGATATTTAAATAGTGGATAGCTTCTGCCTTATAGGATTAATTATCAACAGTAAAGGAACCAGCAGTCAAGAAATACACCTCAGACTAGCATTTGGTAGGATAGCAATGAAGGCCTTATAAAAGATATTCAAATGCCTAGCTATACCTACTAAGATCAGAATTGTACAGGCAATAGTTTTCCCTTTGATACTCTATGGAAGTGAAAGTTGAACTTTTAAAAAGCAGGGTAGAAGGAATATTCATGTTTTGAAAGTTGGTTCCTGGGAACAGCATGGATAGCCAAGAAAACAAACAAATGGGTCATAGAACAAATCAATCCAGAGTTCTCACTTAGGCACAAATAACAGGTTCAAATCATACTTTGGACATATTATGCAAAGACTTAGCTCCTCTGAGAAATTTATTATGCTGGGAAAGGTGGAGGGATAGAGGACAGCCAGCAACAAGGTGGATGGACTCAATTACAATGGTGATGGCTGAACCATTGGAAGACCTGGTTGGCGACAGATTATCCTGGAAAAGCTCTATGTGGTCGCTAAGAGTTGACACTGACTTGATAGCACATAATCAATCTATCTATTATGAATGCATATATTTGTGATACGCAGCAGTTTAGCTAAGAATTACTAGAACAGAACTGGACCATTAAAATCAATAGGAGTTTTGCCACTGACTTCAATTAAGTATGACTTTCGCCATAAATAATCCCTCAGTTCATTTTGGCAATTCTAAAAGATACAAAATACAGAGTCTTTTAAACCCTCAGGGCATGCCACGTTAATTATTTTTAAGATCCTCCTTATCAGTGGAATAGGTGAGGTTCAGTATGATGAACAAAATAAGTATACAACTTCTTTACCAATCTAGAAGGATTTTTTAAATACCATTTTACAGCAAAGATCTCTCCCCCAAAACAAAACACCAGAATTGACAACGCGTGTTTCCATAAATAAGTATAAAATCCAGTATCACAGACTTAATGAAATATATGCTCTGTATGAAACACAAATACTTTTATAAAATACAGTAATTTGTGAGATTCAGCACAAGATATTTAGCTCCATTCACTGTAGCATGCCTTTACTTTATAATAAAGTTTAACTGAAAATTGTGTCTTGCTGCCATCTGCAGTTCTGAGAACCATCAAACTCAGGAAAAAATTATGGCATCCAGTACTGTTCATTGTTTTATTTTAATTAGCACTCTGCCAAAACAATTGAGGGTGGATAGGAAGAATTAACTGCCTTCATCATCAAGTAACTTAATCAAAGTATGACTTACTCTTACCTTATGTAGAACACACATAAGTTCCAGCCAACCTTCAGCTCAAAATGTGGATGAGTGTTAAAGACATGTCTAAGGGTGAAACACATTAACTTTCCCTCCCTGTACAAAACCTGTATTACATGTCCATGACTATTAGGAAAAATTAATTAGGTATCTCTGTAACCAAGAGGGTTCTCATCTGCCATTAACTAGTCATACACTATAAATTACATTTACATTTATACAATTACTAAGATTCTGACGGTTAGCTACTGTTACATGTGAGGTAATATGTACTCAGTTTACTCTTCTGTCTAAATCAGGTCACAACTGGAACAAAATGGAGGTTGTATTTATTTGTTTCTTAATAAAAAGATCTACTATGCCATTTCAGTACAGGCACTGACTTAGCATACAGCTTCACATTATCTCTGGGAAGTTAGCAATATTTAAGTGCTGTGTTATGAAAGGCAGATCATTTATTAAGAAGGAAAAAGCCAATACTTATGAAACTATCACTCATCACTCTAAGCATAGTAGTTTCAACTACTATAACTGATTTAGAAAATGCTGGATAAGGATTTTTGCTTAAGATCTAAAATCCTTTGTACCCAAGGAGTCTGTATGATACATAGCTCCATACAAGCTCCATCATTCCAAAGTGCCTTCCAATTAATTTCGGTGCAAGTAGGGGCAATGTAACCCATGTAGGATTGCTTGATTGTGTAAATGGCCCCACCATTCTATAAGCAGAATCAGAAGCCACTACTATAACTGATTTAACCACTCCTTTAAAAGCATGGCATTTT